ATTTTTTTCTATTTATTTGCGACCGTTTTGTCAATAACAGAAAAAAAAACAGTTTTGTTTGAGCCCTTTTAAGGGCATATAACTTCCTAAAGGTGCGTTTTAGGGCACATGTTAATAGGAACTTTTTGGCTTACTTTAATGAGTTATAAACGCAGCAGAAGTTTGGTACCCTATTTTAGAAACACCCTGTAGGGAAACAGACTGAGGGAGTGCAATAAAATAAAAATGTCTTTTCAATTAAATAATTTTGTAAGCTGGAAGCTAGAAACTGTCTTACTAGGAATTGATGCGACATTCGTCGAACGCTTCCCCACTTGTTTCGGCACATCTTCAGTACAAGACTTTAAAACATTGTCACTTTCACTTGCTTCTAAGGTGAAGTTTTGGGTAACGGGCACCGCCCCGACACTAAAAATTGCACATAAGCAGAACAGGTTCGTCGATTGTCCCATTTCGCGACAAGCACCTCATTCTCTGGTTGATAATTTTCGCACTGGCCATCGTATCGCATATTTAATCCCACCAAATTAGTTGTATCCAATAGTAAACGCCACTGAATAACAATGTGTTATAATATCGCACGTGAAATAGCGTAGAAAAACCCAGCCACTTATATTCTTGTACTGGTCAGCGGCGATAGTGGTTAAGTATGAAAATGAAGGTAGTAGATTTCCGACAACCTTGGGAAAACCGTTAGTGCATGAAATTTGACTGCGTCAAGATAAAAATATGAAATGAAAGCTGCCGTATCCACTCTCTCTTTATTTAAATTAAGGAAAGTCGTTATCTGTATTTGAAAAACTTTTAAACGTATTTTATTTTTAACCATCTTTCACAAATTATGTATTTATTTATAAAAATTGCGCTGTAATGAATTTAAAAAAACGCTAAATTTTCCGATTTTTCCGTTTTTTTTCCGTTTCTAATTTTCTGATCGGATCAATCGACCTCTCGTTTCATTCGTATTTCAATTCTCTACAAATTGTCTCTTTATAGCATTCAGATTGCTTCGTTAGTTTAGGTTTTAATAGCACAAAACTACAAATTTACATAAATAAAAAAAATATTTATTAAAAAATTATTAACCCAGATATGCCTGAATTATGTTTTTTTCGAAAATTAGAGTAAAAATTAAATAATATGTTTAATTTTAGGTAATTTTACATAAAAAGTCTAAAAAAATTCTTGCACATTGGTTTTCTTAAAAAGTTCCGTCTTTTTAAAAGGACAATAGACATATCAACCACTAAAAAATATTACGTTTTGAGACGGGTCGGGTGGTTTTACAATAATTAAAAGAACTATCAGTTCTCTTCTCCAGCTATAGGGTTGGCCCTAGCTCAGCAGAGATGGGAGAAGGTTGAAATCACTTAAAACTTTTATAAAGGCGCCACCCGTTTTACAACCCGATGGTCAGTATCCAGGAAGGCTGGAGAGGAGCCACTGATGCTAATACCTTAAATGTGGTTACAAAAAAAAACGGGAAAAAGGTACCAATAAGAGCTCTAATAATATATACACCATTAAAAACGACAACTTTAATCTCTCAACTTTCAGAGTGTAACATATCTGATCTACAATCAGTTGATGATTAATAATAAGGTTGTAGAGCGTTAGATATTTGCCCAGTGGTATCTTTGTTGTACAATGTCTCAGATGTAAATATTAGTATGTGAAGACATATATGGATTAGACAAAATAATGCCTAAGCAGGGTACAATGAAGAAATAAATATAAGTATAACTATAACCCTCCCCAATAGCGCTATGGTTCGGTATACATGTATAAGCTTAGAATAATAAACTACCAAGTAAAATAGGCAACGGGTATATCTTCACACTAGGAATAGTTTTTATAATTTTGATGGTGTTGAATACTTTAAATAAATATCTAGCCTCTACTTAGATTGTGTGAGAGCAATAGCAACAAAATAAATAATACGTACTATTCAGTTCTAGCAAAAAGAAAACAAAAAGGTTTATAACTACTACTAAAGTAAAATACCAATCAAAACAATAATGAAAGTCTAAGCAAACTTGGACAATAAGGCAAATAGGCACTATCAATTAATACGTTAATTAATAAATCATACAATGGTAAGCAAAGCAGGGATATTACATAAGTACATAGACTAAATAGGGTGAAACCAATAATTTTGTCTAAATATGACCTTTATATGCGGATAAGTAATAATTAACGACTACCAACTGCCAGGTAAGTA